CAACTCTGTGGAACCTCACTGAGGGAAAGGTCTGCGTCCAAGGCACTTTCAGAAATAAGATGGACATCTGGATAAATCTTCCTTTTCTAATAAACACACAATAGCTAAACCTGAGGTAACTGAATGACTAAAACATTCCTTAAATAGCTGAGCCCAATTCAGATTCTAGGATCCTATACTCAGTTAATGAAATGCTGGAAAACAAAAAAATGCAAGTCAACAGTAAATCACAGAGAAGGATGCTGATGTATTTCACAAATAAGGTTTCAAGATACAGCCTGAAAGCTATTAAGAAGCCCGTGTCACCCAGACCTACTCTGCCCCAAGCACAGCATCTCTTGCTAGGAGCCCTGGGCCAGGCAGGGAGAGACAGGAGAACCAGACCTCTGCCCTCAAGGAGTTAAAGATTCAGGTGAAAGCAGGAAAGCAGCAGTTCTCAACCCATGGGTCGCGAGACCCCTTTGGGGGTCAAACTACCCATTCACAGGGGTCGCCTAAGTCCATCGGAAAACAGGAAAGCAGCAGTTCTCAACCCATGGGTCGCGAGACCCCTTTGGGGGTCGAACCACCCATTCACAGGGGTCGCCTAAGTCCATCGGAAAACACATATTCCAGATGGTCTTAGGAACCGAGACACCGCTTCTCTATCGTCTACAGGTGGGTCCCCCACATGCATATATGCCCACAGATGAGAACCCGGCTTGATGACTGTTACCCATGCAGCACCATGCTTCAGGACATGATTTCATTTGTCATTAGAAATAAATATTTCACAATCTATAATTATATATTGTTTTGTGATTGATCACTATGCTTTATGTTCAATTTGTAACAATGAAAATACATCCTGAATATCAGATATTTACATGACGATTCATAACAGTAGCAAAGTTACAGTTATGAAGTAGCAACAAAAATAATTTTATGGTTAGGGGTCACCACCACATGAGGAACTGTATTAAAGGGTGGCAGCAGTAGGAAGGTTGAGAACCACTGGGTTAAACTGTAAACATCAAATCATGTAACACAAAGCATCCTACAACCAAGATAAAGAAGAATGGAGAACAGAGTGAAGAGAGAACATCTCCGAGGAGCTCTGGGAAGACAAGTGACGTGAGCACAGGCAAAACAAAATGGGGGACGGTGAGCAACCCAGGAAGTCAGAGCAGTGAGAGCCAGGGTCAAGAATGCGGCCAGGGTGTGCTCAGAAAACCAGTCAGTCAAGCTGACTGCAGGTGAGGGTCCATGGGCAGGCCTAAAAAGCACCGCGCTTAGGGCAGGAGTTACAGCACTTTCATCTCTCTGCAGCTACACAGGCTTGGTGTCTACGGATTTAAAACGGGGAGGCCTTCCATGTGATCTTCCAGAACCTATCCCAAGGACACACTGCAGCTTAAATTACGGCAGTGCACTAGAGAAGACTGTAGTGCCTAAGGACTGACTCTCATTCTGGGGCTCCAGGGTGACACTGAAGACACTAAACACTCCCACTAAGGAGTCCATCTGACCTTAAGACAGCAACAACTCCTTCAGGCACTCAAAATGCGTGCCGCCTGTGGGAGGAGGCAGGTGGAGCTGGGAAGGCAGTGTAGGACTGCCTTCCCAGCTCCAGCTAGGAAGGGAGGCCTGCCAGCAAGGTGATTCGAATGTGCATTGAAACACTGGAATTTCATTTACTGAAAGAACTAGGGCTTACAAAGAGCCTTCAACATTCACGTTTGGACAATGACATCTTCTTTGTGGACTAAGAACACCAAATGACACATATATCATAAAGTCAAAGGCTGCATGAGCTTGCGAATTGGGTGAAAATCATCAAAACATATTTAGAGCCACAACTTAGCAGGCACTTATTTGGTCAATTGTTATATGCACATAATAAAGAAAAACAGTGTATAATAGCTTGTGGTTATGGAAGGAATCATGGTCCTTACCCCAAATAAATACGTGCTGTCAATTCTACCCTGGGTCCCATTTGGGGATGGGCTGTCTTATGCTAATGAGGCATAATTAGCATAGAGTGTGTCATGCCAATTTCGGAAACACAGGAGATTAAAGAGGCAAGGAAGCAGAGAGGGGGCAGGGGAGCCGCCCCCATGGAGGTCTCCAAGGACCAAGGAAATGGAAGCTGAGGATCAGCGGCCTGCATTGGGGCTTCTAGTCCTCAGCCTGTGAGAAAGCATCCTTCTCTTGGTTAAAGGCACCGATGTGTGGCGTTTGGTTACAGCAGCACTACATAAGACACTTGCCCTGTTGTTTTAGTAGTCTGATGTACTAAGACTATGACAAGAGTAGCTGACCAGGTCCGTCTCCCAGAGATTCACTTAATGGATTTGAACTGTCTACCTTCTGGTGAGCAGCTGGCCTTTAATAACTGTGCCACCAGGGCATGAACCAACACTTACGAAACAAGGATCAAGACAAACAGAATTGTACAAAATCATTCCATTTAATAATGATTTTCTTTAAAGATAACTATTCTTTAAAGAACAGTTCCTATGTTCTCTCCGGAGAAAGACGTGACAATCCGCTTCTACAGAGACTTACAACCCTGGAAAACCCTGCAGAGTGCCCTGCTCTGGCCTTGGAGAGAGCGGAGTCAAAAGTGACTGGAATTGGCAGGGGGGTTGATTTTTCCCAAGTTTGTCACAAGACTTATACCTTCAAAACATCTTTAAAGAATTCCTATTATGGGCAGGCACTGTGCTAGATCCTGGAGATTTTGAAAAAAGAAAACCAGAATTAAAGGAATTCCTAATTCCCTACATAATTCCTCTCCTGCACTCAAGATGTCACCTGTACATATGAGAGGTACGTTGTATATAAACTAGACCTATGTTCTAGGTAGAAAGGAGCCCTGGTGGCATAAGTAGAGCGGGTTTTCAGTTGGGTTATTAGCCGCAGTGAGCAGTTTGAACTCACCAGCCGCTCCTCAGGAAAAAGATGAGGCTATCTACCTTCTCCAGTACAGATCATCGTCTCAAGAGACACTGGTGCAGTTCTACTGTCCCACACGAGCGATGTACGTTAGAAATGGCTCCAGGCCAATGGGTTTTTTTTTAGGTAGAGCTGAAAGGGTCACAGTCAACACTACTATGTACCAGGGGCACAAAGATTGCTCCATTCACCTACCAGGTCTAGTCTCCTAAGTGCCTAACTAACTCCAGTGTGAGGTCAAAAGCCTCAGAACTGACTTGATGCCAGGGAGTTTGGTTTGAGTTCAGATTGGGCATCTGAAGCTCACCTAAAGGCTCAATGATTTGCTCAGGGTCAAAACAAGAGAAAGGACATAACGGGGATGGAAGCATGAGTCTTCTGCCTTCAAGTCAGACACGCAATGTCATGTTGCTTCACTCACACTAAGGCAGCGGTTCTCAACCTGTGGGTTGCGACCCCTTTGGGGGTCAAATGACCCTTTCACAGGGGTTGCCTGATTCATAACAGTAGCAAAATTACAGTTATGAAGTAGCAGTGAAAATGATTTTATGGTTTAGAGTCACCACAACATGAGAAACTGTACTAAAGGGTTGTGGCATTAGGAAGGTTGAGAACCACTGCACTAATGGAAAGAGGGGCCCTGGTAGTGCTGAGTTAGGCACCCAGCTGCTAACCGCAAGGTTAACAGTTCAAACTCAACAGCTCCAAGATGAAGCTGTCTGCTCCCATACAGGTTTTTAATCTTGGAACCCTGTATATGGGTTGCTCTGAACTGGAATTAGTTGAGTGGAACGAGGAGCAGGCATCAGTCACACTATGCCAATAGAATGACATTTAAAAGGAAGCAGAACCATAAAACTCCTTACAAGGGGGCTTCAAAAAGGTTGTGGAACAATTATAGGATCTTTTAATCCCATTCTCCAAGCCAAGGTTTGAAGCCCTGTCATGTGCCACTGCTGCAGACTTAAGACAAGGCAGGTTAAATCTGAACCATAGGCCCCAAGGCCCAATGCATCGCTGTCAGAATCCATTCCGACTCACGGTGACCCAGAGACCACAGTGTAGGGTTTCTGAACCCATCATCTCACCAGAAGCACAAAGCCTGCTCTCTCTCCTGCAGAGTGGCTGGTGGGATCAAACTGCCTACCTTTGGGTTAGCAGCATAGAACACTTTAACAGCTGTACCATCAGGGCTCCCTGAGTAACTAACTGACACATCTGCTTTCATTTCTGGCCCATCAAGTTATATGAAATGACAAGAATCCCCAAAAAGCCTGAGTAAACTGCTAAGCAGACTTATTTCAGTCTGGGAAACTACCTTTCTGGGGGGCAATGACCTAAATCAGTAAAATAGGTGAGGTGATATGAGCGGGACTTAAAAAAAAAAATTCACAGAAAAATTCTATTATCTTTCGGTTGTGTTCCCACAATTTTTTGAAAGCCCCCCTCTTATTAGAACTCATTGAAGAACTGCATTTCAAACAATCCAAGCCTTTTGCAAAAGTAAATCTTACTTAATAAAAAGATCAGGTGACTGGCCAGGCATCAGCATACTAGTCTGCTGGGTTGTTAGGTGCCGCTGAGTTGGTTCTGACCCATAGCAACCCTCTGTAAACAAAACAAAATGCTGCCTGGCCTTGTGTCATGTTAACAACTGCTGCCATGTTTGAGGCCATGGCTGTAGCCACTGTATCGACCCATCTCATTGAAGGCCTCCTTTTATACTACCATACCAAGTCACCTGGCTGGGCTGGGAAGGGGGAGAGGGCGGTGGTAAGGGGCAACTGCTGATGAGATGACTATCAGGCATGAAAATGAAATTACATAAACATGAAGCTAACGCTGCACATTAGGAACTAGGAACCACAGGATAGCATGATCTTAGACTCACCATGCAACCCTACTTGGCTTGCCGCTCCCTCTAGGGTTGGCCTGTGGGAAGAGAGGCAAAGTGACCCATTGGCTTAGCAATAAAAACTTGTCGATGGCAGTTTACACCCATGCAGGCACAGGGAAGAGATGTGACAAGGTCAGGATCACTGAACTAAACCAGAGGCAGCTACCTGAACTGTCTGAGGTCAAGACACCCTCCAGGCAGGAAGATGGGTGGCCTACTCAGCAGGGTCAGGCCGGCACTGGCAGGTCTGAAGGACAAGGAAAACAGGGTTACTCTCCAATCAGGTTGCTGAGTGCTCCTTGCCGCTACTGCAGTTAAAGGGTCAGGAAGCCTGCAATCTAGTTGGAGAAACAAAAAGTCACATGTCAACAAGCATGGCGATGCAAGAGGTCTTTGGCAAGTGTGGGGGGGTTGGGGGGGAACATCTTTTTCTTTCATTCCATTTCTCCACACAACTTTTTAAATCCCCTGGTAATAGTTAAAACTGCAGTAAAGAGGAAGAAAGAAAAGACAAAGAGCCTGGGAAGTTTTACTTGTGATTTGAGCGGCTGAGTTCAAATTGGAGGTGCCTTAAACTGAGGAGATAAATGCTGGTCAGGCTGGTGGCAAATCAAAAACTCCACTGCCACAGGGTTAGTTATGACTCCTAACCACCTCCTGCAGAGTTTCTAAGGCTATAAATCAGTGTACATTGGGGGGGTGGGGGTGAGGAGGTTGCAAAAGCAGATGGTGACACTGTGTTCTGGATTATGAGGTACATTACAGTCTTTAATTGCCAATGGGGCGCTGAGTAAAAATTTTTTTTTTTCCTTCCTGAAAAAGGGTAGGCCAAATAAGTTTGGGAACCTATGCTATCAATCTTGAAAAGAGCAGTCAGCCATATCTTTCTCCCTCACAGGGGCTGATGGGTTTGAACCTCTGACCTTATGGTTAACAGTCCAAAGCTTATCTGATAGTGCTTCCAGGGTTCCTTAGGAGCAAGAAACAACTAAAGTAAAGATGAGACAGTGGTGGTTTCAGCTTGCCTACATCAGATTACCTATCTCCGCAGGGGGAGTAAAATTTGCATCACACTCAAAAAGATCCCTTCCAACAAATACTTTAAGAGGAAGCATGTGTGAGGGAGTAGAGCTCTTTAAACAATTAAACTACAAAAACTCCCTAGATCTGGGAAAGAAAAGTCACAGAAAGGTTTTGTTTTCCTTCATTGTAATCTCTACAGGCACTAATAAATAAATCTATTTTCTAAGCCACAAAACTACATCAACACAAATGTTTGTAATCATAAAACTGTAAGCAAGTCTTTCCTCAAAGCTTAACAAGGGTCCTGAGTTGTATACAAGGCAAAGAAAG